TAAATACCCTAGTCTTTCATTAACACAAGACACGAACTCTTGGTTCAAAAACTATTTCTCACACCTAAACTTTCTGCTATCTTTTGTACTACTTGCTACTACTCTAAGTTAGCTGGCTGCAAGCCAAGGCTAATCATTGTGTTCTCCTGTTCTTTCACTCTGCTTATTGTCCTTTTTACTGGTATGTTCTAGTTTCAATTCAAAGTTCCACAACAATATGATTCTCTTATTGTTTTAGTTCATCCTGTTTCTAGTTTGCTTCTATTTGTGGTTTTGTTGTGAAACTTGCAGTTGATGTTTACATTATTATGTACTCCCCTTCCTTAAGATCAGTATATTACCCCTCTGTTTGTTTCTGAGCATGTCTATACCAATTATCTCTTACTTGTTGTGTGCTTACCACCATATGCTCTATGAATCCCAAATCCCTATCACCCCTGTATGTGATTTTGTTCTTCATGTCTGGTTCTGTGACTTTGCCTGGTCAGCTGTTCCTGAGCCCGTCTATACCAATTCCTAGACCTTTGCTTGATTATGTGTTTGCAATCAAGTGTTCCATGAATCCCAAACCCCTTAACCCCTGTTTGTGACTACTGAATTTACTTTGGTTCTGTGACTACTAACCATGTATAAACCTGTCCTAAGGTGTTGTGTTTGGACTTCTGTTCATTTCTTCAATCTCTTTTCAAACAATCTCTGTTGTTTTACTAAATTACTTTCAAATAGACTTCTGTTTTAATACAGTTTTTTCACTAAAACCTTTCAACTTGTGTCAATCACTTTCACTCTACTCCTAAGTCAATAAGTTCTGGCCCTCCAGTATGTGTACTGCCTTGGGATCCTCTTGAGAACCTTCTGAACTCTGGTATACTGAGGCTGGCCCTTCCACACTGCACTTGTTCAATTTTTGGTTACCAAGTCTAGGTGTAAGCACTGCCCGGGATCCTTGAGATCCTTAGAGAACTTTGATGCACCTGGGCTATGTCATTGTCTATGGAATTGAGGCATTGAGGCTATTGGAGGATTTGGAAATCTGGGCCTGACTGAAGGCTCCCTATAGAATAGCTTCTTATTTTCTTATTTACTTATGTAATTCATTCATATGGTCTGTAATAATTTGTAAACAAATATTGGGGTAATTAGTGAAAAGAGGTGGGTAGTTACATGTTTGTGGGGTAATACGGGTAGAAACCATGCTTATAGGACTTTACATTTTGATATGATTGCCTTGCCAAGTAGAAAACATGCCTATAGGATTTTCACATCTTGTTATGTTTGTCTCACCATGTTAGAAATCATGCCTATAGGTTTCAAGTGATTCTTAATAGAAATCATGTTTATAAGTCTTAAAATCAGTTTCACAAGTAGATGCCATGCCTATAGGATCTAATTTAACCTAGCCTCTGTTATAATAAGTGTTTACATGTCTTTTCATGCCTGCAAAGTTTCTGAAATCAGTATTAAACTTAGATATGATGCCTATAGGGAACCATACTCAAAATTCTGCCTGTCAACCTAAACTAGTCTAAATAAATCGATTTAATCCACGTCTAGTCATTTCTAGATTGGTTTAATTAAGTATTTCATATTTCCTGAAACAAGTTCTTTAAAACTGCCTCAATCTATCATTAGATATCATGCCTATAAGTATTACAGAAATCCGTTTCAAAACCTGCTTTGTTTCACTATATAAATGTACTAATCAGTGCTCCGCGTATAGGCAAGCCTGTAGCGCGTTTCCAAAACCTGCAATCCTGAAACTGTTTTCTATGACTTAATGTTTTTTTTCTGATCCTAACAGGCTTTTAAAATCAGTAGGTAACTGACAGGGTTTTACTTCTGAGTTTAATAAAAAAAATAAACTACTTGTCTTCTGCTTACTCATTTAGACATCCGGCCTTAGGATACTGTTTAACAAAAGGCCCTTATTTGTGTTTGAGTCGTGCTGTTTACATGCCTTACCTGTGGAGGTAAACTGAGCCTCTTATTTGCTCCTTCCTGTTCCTGCATGCTAAGAGTCCTATGTGTTATTACTTGTCGCCTTAGTATTTTTACCTTTTAAACCTTAGGGGTCTGTCTAGAGTCACCTGTAGGTAGAGGTCTTAAATCCCTCCAAGATCATTAAGAAGGGACGTGTAACAACACGCAATAGAGATCGCTGACCAAACACTCGCTTTGCATGACCCCTAAGAGGATGGGAAGGGTAGATATGGGATATGAAGACTACACGCTAATGTCACGTGTAGCCCCTCATCGAGGAGTGTTTACCGGACATTGTGTGGGATGATCCTATAGGCTAACCAACCTAGGACTCCTCCTTTACCGAAAGTCTTTTTCTATTCAAAACCTTTGTTTACAACTTATTCAAAAATCTTTATCCTATTATGTGAGTTACCCAACATGCTTTACTTGTAACCTATTTGATTCAACTATTTATTTATATGGACTAATTTGTGAATATAAGTTCGGTCGGGACCCACAGTTATGGACCAAGAGGGGTGCCTAACACCTTCCCCTCGAGGTTATTTCGAGCCCTTAACCTAATCTCTGGTAATGTAAACCAATCCAAGAGTTAATCACTCTAGGTGCCTAACGCACCGTAATCCGTTAGGTGGCAACTCTTCAAATACCCAATTCCCAAAAGGAAACGAGTTATCACACCCCATGAAAATGTCGAAACCCGGACCTCCCTCCGAGAGGAGGGGAAAAAAGGGGGCGCGACAACTACTATCCACACCAAGATGTAGCCCATGCTGTAGCACTGCCTCACTATGCGGTGATAAATGCCCATCCCTACACGCGATCGCAATATCACTACAACCAAGCCCGAGCTCCACCTCCCAGAAATAACCCTCCCTACCAAGCTCCGTATAACCCCCGTCCACCACAAAACAACCACCAACATAATCCACGCCCCCGTGAGCCTCCTAGGAGAAACAATTTCACCCATATTGGTGAATCCTACTCCAGCATGTTCCTAAAGCTAATCCAACTGGGTCTGTTGCAACTTGTACCCCCCAACCGGCAAAATCCTGAATCCCCATCATACCGGCCCAGTACCAGGCGTGCTTACCATTCGAGAGCAGAGGGTCATGATACAGAGGACTGTTGGACCCTCAAAAGGGCGGTTGAAAGCTTGATAGAACAAAAAAGAGTTGTTCTAAGGGACGAGGAAGTCCCAAATGTGACTAACAATCCATTACCAGCTCACAAAAATGGGCAAGTCATTGGAATTAATTGTGACAAAAAGGAATTTAATCCAGCATTGAAAGACATCATCGCCATCGCCGATTTTGAGGCAAGACCCAAAGCAGCGGTAAAATAAGTCAAAACTGAGAAGAAAATCAGTCTGGTTCCTCAATCTATAAAAACAAAGACTAGGGCAGCACCTGCTAAGAACGTGATTCTCTATGTTCCTAAGGCCCCAAGAAAAGAACAGCTCATTTTGAACACTCCCAAAAAATTCAAGCAAAAGAAGCCTACGCTGAATGTGCCGTGATTGTATATGCCAAAAGGGACTTATGTGGCGCGGGGGCCGGTAATTCCACCAAGGCTGACTAAGCCCGTGGTTATCAATTGCGCACCACAGAGCCCTATGAGAGACCCCACCGCAGTCCCCTGGAATTACAACAGAACAGTGGTTACCTACAAGGGAAAGAGATTATGGGAGAAGTGAATGAAATGAATCGATATGGGAAGTACCACAACCCAGAAGAGTTAAAGAAGTCAAAACTGAATAAGGATAAACGGTTTCCACCTAAGAAGCCTGTGAGCGATGAGGAAGCAGAAGAATTTTTTCGAAAAATGAAAACTTCAGAATATGCAATAGTTGACCAACTCCAGAAGACTCCTTCCAAGGTCTCGCTTTTATCTCTATTGCTAAGTTCGAATGAACACCAGAAGGTACTCTTGAAAACTTTGAATGAAGCATATGTCCTAGTGGACACTTCAGTTGAACAATTGGAGAGAATGGCTAAGCGATTCTTTGAGGTCAATAGGATTTATTTCAGCCGCGATGATTTGCCCCAAAGGGAGCCACCCACAACAAATCCCTTCACATGACCATCAAATGTGAGGGCTATTATGTGAAGAGAGTCATGCTAGATGGTGGTTCCGGGGTCGATATTTGCCCTCTCTCAACACTCAAAGAATGGAATTTGGGACGGAAAGAATCTAAGCTAACAACATCTGTGTACGGGCCTTTGATGGGGTCAAGAGAAACACAATAGGGGAAATCGATCTGATTTTGACTATTGGCCCGGCGGACTTAGAGGTGACTTTCCAGGTTTTGGACATGGACACTTCATAAAATTTCCTCTTGGGAAGGCCATGGATTCATGCTACCGGAGATGTTCTTTCAACTCTCCACCAAATACACCTGTATTATGCTCAGAAGAATGGGATTCTGTGAAGTCATCATTGGTATGATTTGGAGAATTATGTCCAACAACTAGTACTCTGTGATTGTGAATGGTACCAGACAAGGTTTTTTCAAATCCACAAGGGTTCTTAAACAAGGTGATCCCCTGTCTCCTGCTCTCTTCATTCTGGGTGCTGAATTGTTATCCAGAATGCTGAATAACTTAACACATGATGAGCTATTCAATGGATTCTACATGGAAAGAAGGGGTCCTCAAATCAACCATCTTAGATTTGCTGATGATGTAATCATTTTCACATCTGGTACAAAGAATTCCCTCAATAGAATAATGACCATTCTTAGAGACTATGAAGATACCTCTGGCCAGAAGATTAACAGCAGCAAAAGCCATTTCGTGGTTCCCTCTTGTGTCTTCCACTACAATGTTACCAGAATCACAGGATTCACGAGAAAAAAATTCTCCTCTTACCTATCTTGGTTGCCCTCTCTACATAGGTAGGAAAAGAATCATCCACTTCAATGGTCTCATATCAAAAGTGGTCAGCAGAATCAGAGGTTGGCAAGGAAGACTCCTATCCTATGGTGAAAAGTCAATTTGGTAAAGTATGTTCTGCAATCAATGCCTGTTCACTTACTTTCTGCTGTCTCCCCTCCTAAGACAGTAATGAAACAGATTGAGAAGTTGGCTGCTAATTTCTTTTGGGGTTTGGAGAAGGACAAACACAAATATCATTGGGCATCCTGGGGTAAGCTGTCATATCCATTTAATTAAGGTGGCATTGGGGTAAGATCTATTCAAGATGTCTGCAAGTCCATGGAATACAAACAATGGTGGAACTTTAGGTGCAAACCTTCATCGTGGAGCAACTTTCTTATGGCCAAGTACTATCAGAGATCCCACCCAATCTCTAAAAAGTGGGATACTGGCCAATCACAGGCTTGGAAAAGCCTCATGACAAACAAAAAGGAGGCAGAACAACACATCAGGTGGAGGCTTCATTCTGGTGAGGTGAGCTTCTGGTGGGATAATTGGCTAGGTACTGCACCTTTAACTGCTCATAGAACTGAAGGAGGCAAACCTGGCAAGATCAAAGTCTCACAATTTTGGGATACATGGCAATGAAATGTTCAAAAACTTAATGAAACAGCTCCATCACACATGATAGCCCACATTCTGCAAATCCCCATTTACCATAACCCACAGATTCCTGATAAAGCCATTTGGACCCCCAATGTTTCAGGAAATTTCACCTGTGCCTCAGCCTGGGAAACCATAAGAAGAAAGAAACAACATCTGCTCTCTAACAAGAAGACATGGCATAAAAAGCTTCCTTTCAAATGGTCCTTCTGTCTTTGGAGAGCCATCAGAAATAAAATACCAACTGATGATAGGGTTGTTGCCTTTGGCAATCCTACAGTCACAAGATGTGCATGTTGCAGTAGGCCTCAAGCTGAAACTGTTAATCATATTTTTAGCACAGGTCACTTTGCGAGCTATTTGGAAGAAATATTGGCATCACAGGCCTCCATTTTGACCAACTTCCTCTACACCTTGTTCTTATGAAATGGTGTCTACATAAAGGCAAGAATGTAGTGCAGCAACTGCTCCTAGATACAACTCCTACCATCATCTATTGGAATCTATGGAAGAACAGATGTAATGCCAAATATGGTGGTAGAGCCTCTTCTATGATCAGAGTCCTGTATTCCATTGACTCTGATATTCATCTCCTGCTAAGGTCCTGCTATCCTCACTTCAACTGGCCATCTAAGTGGATTGGTCTCTATTCAATGACTAAAAATCTGCAGCAAACCATCTCTATTACCAAGGTAGTATGGAGGACACCGCAGGACAACTTTGTGAAAATCACTAGTGATGGTACTGCTCTCAGTAATCTGGGGAAAATTAGAGCTGGCACCATCATAAGGGATCAACATGGTAACTTCATTCATGCTATGGCCACCCCCCTTGGTGAAGGAACTAATAATCAAGCAGAAACTGAAGCTGCAATTATTGGTGTCCAGTGGTGTTTGGAAAATGGTTATACCAAAGAACATTTAGAAGTTGATTCTGCATTGTTGATTACTTGGATCAATAGCACTTCTGAACCTCCTTGGTCTCTTCAGATGTTCATACAAAAGTTGAAGGATCTCAGTCAGCACTTTGAGGAATTCAAATGCTCTCATGTCTATAGGGAAGCCAATTTCCCAGCTGATTCATTATCAAAACTGAGCCATGAACTTGAACACATGTCACACTTCAACTGTGTGCAGGAACTGCCACCACACATTAGAGGGCAGATCAGACTTGATCAGTTAGATACCCTGCTTTCAGGCACAAAACCACAAATAGGCTCCAAATGTCCACTTATAATGCTTCCACATCCAATTCCTTTAATGGCTATGGCTAAATTCAGGAGTCCACTACAACCTTCCCAACAGTCAAACAGTCCATTAGTCCAAGTTAAGAACACTATGAACATGATAGAGCACCAATCTGTCACCATGAAGGAGAATATTACAGCAGCAGTCTACACCAATAACCACCTCTTTTCTGACTTCACTCCAGCAACAGTCTACAACAACAGTTTTGCAGGAACCCTTTCCTGATTTCACTCCAGCATAGAATCCCACACAACCCATCACAACCCCATCACACACACAACATAGATCAAACACCTCACACAGAAAATTCCCAGAACCGGCCAACACTACACCAACCTCTCCAAAACACACAACCATCATTCCACCAGCAATTTCCCAACCTCCCTCACCATAAAAACTTCCAGCTTTCCTACCCTCACACCATACACCACATGACACCACCCATTCACAAAATGCCTTTCCTTCTTCCCACTAATCCAAAACACCATTGCAATTACAGAAGCAGGGACACCTAGCTTTTCCCTAACTTTGGTTTCTTTTTTGCAGGTACTTCCGGTGAAGGCTTGTTAAGCTAATTGACATACCTTCAGTGGGTGGTATCAATACTTATGGTGTTCATCCTACTGGAAATATACTAATTGCCTCAACCAATTCACCACTTTGAACCTTATAAACAAAAGCAGAAGAAGCAGGAACATCACTACATCCATGATCTATACTACCACCTCCAAAATCATCACACAGCAGGAGCTATACTTCACCTCCCACAATCAACACAACTATCACCCAGAACCCACAAGAACCTGGGGGGGGGGGGGCAGTACTACCTTTCAAGCTCAAATAGGTGAGGGAAACAATGGCCTTGAATGGCAGTACATTCTCCATGCTCACTGCCACACAAGAACTGAAATACTGCCAGAATCCACCAGCTCTCCAAAATGCTAACCTACAGATTTCTCTTTCTAACTACCAACACACCTTCATCATCCTGAAACTAACTTCTCACACTACTCTCAGAACACACAAGAACCTGAGAGTAGATTCCTTTTCACTAACAAGTTTGTTTCTTTTTGCAGATACTATGGATAGGTTCAGAGTATTGTTGCAGTTACAAGGTGTGGTATTAGCATCATGCAACAATTCTCCTGGGCCTATCATAAGGGCACTTTTAACCTGGCTCACCTACAACCACACATGACACACAGGACTCACAAGCTTCATCAGGGGTCACAAGCCTTTAGACACAACAACAACAACAGGAACAACAATGAAGGTCAAGGTTAGACAACTCAGAAACTAAGCAAGCACACACCCAAGGTTTCATCACTCAGTATAGTCATCAGCAGCAGCTTCACATGTAGTCGGCTGCCATTTATGCAGAGCTTCCATAGGGCAATAATAGGGGTCCAGACCTATGTACTCAACAGAATAAAGCCACCAGTTTCCAGCAAAAGAAGCTCACATGCTGCAGCAACAATCCAAGAAGCCATAAACCACTTGCACATCCTGTAACTTCCAAGATTTCTTGGATGATGGCAGCAGGAAAATGCTCACTCTTTTCTGTCGGAAGCTCCAGGCAGAATCAGCATGTATGGCCACCTACTTAGGTCCTTTTTGTTAACCTTCTTCAACTAGGCTTTCTTTAGTCTCACTGTCAAAGCAAAGTTGAAGAATGTCTGGACCATGATCACTTTTTTGTCATACTCCATAGAAAGTCTCTACTCTTTAGAAGATGTAGATCTTGTTGTATATGGAAGATGAACTTCCAACTCATTTGTTTAGTAGAATTAGGATCACTTGTGCATTTTTGTACAGTTGACCTAGGTTTCCTTTACCATGTTTTTGTATACCCAGTAGTCTATCAATGTTGGATAGGCAACTGGAGTTTCTCCATAGGTCTAACTTCATATAGAATTTTAGGTCCATTTGGTTGTCATTTTGGATGATCAAGTGTACATCCAACCTTTGGGAGGTAAGGTTTATGTCCCCTCCATTGTTGTACTTTACTTTATATTTATGAAAACTAACCCTAGACATAAGGCCTAGTGGACTTTGATAAAAAAAATGGTTAAATTTGACTATGAAAACCAAGAGATTGTCGTACATGGGGAAGATGACCAATCCATTTACAGGGAACCTTCAGTCCCGTGCCTTGAAGCTAGGGAAGACATTGAGCATATTGTCTACCAGGCCTTCGAGATTGTGGTTGCTGAACAATGCGAAGAAGGGGCCCTATTACCTCAACCTTGATTGCCTAATGCCTCGGTCATGGTCGCCACTCAAATGATTAGACATGGGTACAATCCCGGAAAGGGGCTCAGAGTATCTCTACAAGGCATCACAGAGCCTATTACTTCAATTGCCAATGAAAAGTTTTTCGGTGTGGGTTTCAGGTCTACAAAGGCCGACCGAACATGGGCTAAAGAGCGCAAAGAAAAAGGGTGGGTCTTGCCCCAGCCCATTCCACATCTCGCCCGATCATTTGTCAAACACAAATATGTGGAAGAAGAATAAGAGGCCTTCATGGCCGAAGAGATTGATGATATTTGTGCAGACATGAAACAAATGCTGTATGAGTCTCACACGGTCCAGCTAGGGGAAGGCACGAGCAATGCTGGGGTGTTATATATCGGACCGGATGATAAGCTTTAGAATTGGAAAGCTACCCCATTCCCTGTCGGACGGGAGGCACGGTAGTTCAGTCTTGCCATCTCTTATACATTACGAGTTATTCCAAGGTGTAACTTGAATGTGTTTACTTTATTGTATTTGATCTTTATGTAAACCCTCATATCTTCAATTAAATGAAATGGAATTAATATTTCATCGTCAATAGATGTCTCCCTTTTTTCCTGATCTTACTATTTTCTTATCTTTTTCTTTTCAATTCTAATAATGCGGACTTAAATAACATGACATGCTTGCGGTCTTCATGCCCAGATCCTAAAATGCTGTTTAACTATGAAATAATGAATCAAGAACCGAAATATTGTATGATTTGTACGCATGGTTTTCACTTTTAGGAGTTAAATATTGGGAGGCATTGATGTTGAGCGTCGAATCCTGACTGATAATAGGCGTGATTCATGGGTTTCAAGGAGCAAAAAATGGCTATTTATGTAATAGTTCATTCTGGTTAAATACTGTATTTCTGGGCATTTACACAAGGCTCAGATTTCTTCTTTTTGAAGTTAAGATCAGCATGAAAGTAACTTTTTCGTGCAGTTTTCGAATTAATTGAAATTAGTTTGTCTTGTTTATAATTGAGATGTATCTTGTAACACTAAAATGGTGACATGATGATTCAGTCGAATTTGTTTTTTTTTTTGTTTGTAATAATGCTTATCTTCCAACATTATTCAAAATCTGCAAGTTTAGTTTTTGTATAGCTGATGTTTGCAAGTATTTTCTTCTGGTTTTGGACCTGGTCATGAACTGGCCCAATTAAGAAGGTCTTTATCGACTTTGGATTTTAAATCCATCTATTGCAGGCCTGAAAATAATTGGGCCAGCTCACTAGACTCGTCACTGTAACGGGTAGCTCGAATAATACCTTTCTGCACGTTATATTTATTGGAATCCTTAGAACTAATTCAATCTTAGACACAAATATTTTTCCTTCCCTAATTAGTGCAACAAGTCCAAAATTATCCAAATCCAATGTGCACTTTAGGAGTAGGCTAATAAAATACAAGTACCTTATCAAATTCTTGCCTTAGTTACTATTAGATATGCAGAACATGAGCATTAATTCTCTTTAGGTAAAGTACTTCATAATCACGGGCCTTTCACACACACAATCTCCAAATTAGGGAATAAACAACTTATAAACATTTGTACCATGCTTTAGGCGCACTATAATAAATTATCGTGACTATAGGTACGGCTCCGTGGCATTGTCATGATACATAATCCCCAATACGAGTGCGCGTTTCACGTGAGTCGATCATAACTTCAAATAATAATAAAATAAATATGTTATAAATCGCAGGTGCGTTTCACGTGATGCGATTCACAATATGTACAAGAACAAATAAGTGCGCGGCATCATGACTTTTTCAAATAAATTGCCATACTAAAGGCGGTTAAATATATAATTAAAAGCGATTAAAACGTAAAATGCACAATAGGTTTTAAATATGTATTAAATCACATAATTGGGCCAATTATTAATAGTTAAGCGACCGTGCTAAAACCACGAAACTCGGAGTGCCTCACACCTTCTCTCGCGTTAACAGAATTCCTTACCCGGTCTTCTGTGTTCGCGAACCGTAAAAATAGAGTCCATTTCCTCGATTTGGAATTTTAAAATAAACCGGTGCCTTGGGACATCAAAATAATTATCCTAAGTGGTGACTCTAATTAAATAAATAATTCTATTTCGAACAATATCACTTTAATTGGAAAAACTCCCTTATTCCTCGAAAAAAGGAGGTGTTACAACAAACATCTCCGAGATTTCCTAAGCGATTGAGCCAAGAATCATTTCATGAATAGGGATTCTAATAAATAGATCGTGTAGGAGGAACCTCAGCACGTCATTAACATGATTATCGGTGGGGTCGACGTTCCCCAGGGGCCTATGCTAAAGCGCACCAAAGTATCCATCACAAGGGAAAAAAGGACTCGAGATTACGTGCCAGAGGGAACCTTGTCTTTCAACGACGAGGACGCTGAAGGCATCGTGCAACCCCACAATGATGCATTGGTAATATCTGTACTCATAAATAAATCTCGAGTTAAGCGTGTGTTAATTGATCCAGGTAGCTCGGCCAACATCATCAGATCGAGGGTCATGGAACAACTCGGTCTACAAGATAAAATCGTGCCTACAGTTTGAGTTCTAAATGGATTCAACTTGGAATGTGAGACTACTAAAGGGGAGATAACATTACTGATGAAGGCCACCCGAACCATTCAAGAAACCAAGTTCTATGTGATCGAAGGAGATATGAGGTACAATTCTCTGTCGGGAGGCCGTGGATCCACAACATGAGGCAGTACCCTTAACTCTACACCATGTGTTGAAATTCCCAATGCCAAGAGGGATTAAAACAATCTATGGAGAACAACCGGCCATAAAGGAAATATTCGCGGTCGAAGAGGTGATCTCGATATCCGCACTTTCAACAACAAAAGGTCTGGGTTCGGGGCCAAGGAAAAAGCCAAATAGCATTTACGAACACCGGCCCCGACCCAACTGGAGAAGCAGGGGACGGTAAAGA